TTGACTGCCTTGTCAGGTAAGTTTAATGTTTTCTTTTGAGGCATGAAGAAGAAAAAGTTTTCCGTTCTTCAGCGGTGAGCCTTAGCATCAGCCCTTAGTTTCAGAAAAGTAAAGAATAAATTGTGCAATTTTTTGTTTTGTGAGCACATCAGTGCTTTGCTGTTGGCTGCAGCTGTGGCTGTCTTGCCATTTTCAGACTTAGAAGACGAGGTGGCTGTTGTAATTGCTGATCCTGTGAGAATGTGAAACTAGACAATATATGAAACACAAAAGAAATCATCCAAAGTAAAAAAAAAAAAGCAAAAACCAATAGCACACTGTCGATTTTTGTAGCTTAGTAAGTCTTGAAGCTAGGTAGTGTGAGTCCCCTCTTTCTTATTTTTTCTCAAATTTATTTTGATTCTTCTAGGCTCTTTGGCATTTCCATATAAATTTTACAATAAATTTTTTAATTTCTGTAAAGAAAACTGGTAGAATTAGAGTAACTTTTGGCTTTTAATATTTTTATCTTATTTTGGTATCCCTTATGAGGAAGTAATGGAGAAGGCAATGGCACTCCACTCCAGTACTCTTGCCTGGAAAATCCCATGGACGGAGGAGCCGGGTAGGCTGCAATCCATGGGGTCGCTAAGAGTCGGACACCACTGAGCGACTTCCCTTTCACTTTTCCCTTTCATGTATTGGAGAAGGAAATGGCAACTCACTCCAGTGTTCTTGCCTGGAGAATCCCAGGGACGGGGGAGCCTGGTGGGCTTCTGTCTATGGGTCGCACAGAGTTGGACACGGCTGAAGTGACTTAGCAGCAGCAGCAGCATGAGGAAGTAAATTTTAAAAAACTATACTTCTGCTACCTAGAGATGACCATTGTTTTTCCAGTTTGGTGGGTTTTCTTCTCTGACTTAAAAATTATTTATGTTTATAGTAGATCTACTCCTGAAGAGTTTAAGGCAGCTTGGAGGAACATATAAACTACAAGATGGGTAAACTGAAAATAAGGTTAGACAAGCACAAAAGAAGGAATAAACAAGGGTGGGGACATAAAATTGAGCCAGGAATGACTCTGAAAATGCAGATGGTAATGACCCTTGTTATGGGTGAGCCTTAGATTTGGCTCCAAGCCAAAGAATTCAGTCGCAGAATTCACAACCAAAGATAAAAATAAACAGTTGCTTAGATGAAATACTAACATCTGTGTTCTAAGAACAGACACAATGCATGAGCTTTCTTTTAATCAGCTTCAGTTAGAGGTTTTTGGAAATCACATTGGTGCATCAAAATTAATATCAGTAGTGGTTTGGAGACAAAAATAATGCTGTCTAGATGGCACTAATGGTAAAGACTCTACCTGCCAGTGCAGAAGACACAAGAATTGTGGGTTCAATCCCTGAGTCGAGAAGACCCCTTGGAGTAGGAAATGGCAAGTATTCTTGCCTGGAAAATCCCATGGATAGGGAGCCTACTGGGCTACAGTCAATGGAGTTGCAAAGAGTTGGACATGACTGAGTGGCTGAGCACACAGACATTTATGTCTCCAGTGATCTGCGTTGATATACACTGGATATCAGATCTGTGAGAAAGTATGGTTGTTATACACGTCATTTGGGCAATCTTCTCCAGATAATTTTTCCTTTAGTTAAACTTTTGATAAACATCAAGTGTCAGTGAGCTCTAAATATTATTTCCTGGTTGGTGCTTCAGCTATGACTGGTTTTTATTATTAGTTGAATATAGATGAGTCTCATTTAGAGTTAGTGATCAAATAACACATTGTAGTGTTGAGAGCAGAGTATCAGGCCAGATAGATGTTTTAGATCCTAACCCCATAACTCTACTAACTGTGTAGACATAAGAGAGTTATGACATTTCATCAAATCTCAGGGGTCTAATATGTCTGAAAAGGTTACATGTTCTGTGATTACAACTACATGACATTCAGGAAAAGGCAAAGCTGTCGAGATAGTTGAAAAGATCAATGGCTGCCAGATGGTTTTTTAAAAAATACTTTTATTTATTTATTTTTGGCAGTCTTTGTTGCTTCATGAGAACCTTCTCTAGTTGTGGTGGGCGGAGGCTACTCTTCATTGCAGTGAGTGGAGGCTACTCTCACTGTGTTGGCTTTTCTTGTGCACATGCTCCAGGCCTGCGGGCTTCGGTAGTTGTGGCTCACGGGCTTAGTTGCTCCAAGGCGTGTGGAATCTCCCCGGACCAGGGATTGAAATCGTGTTTCCTGCACTGGCAGATGGATTCTATACCACTGCACCACCAGGGAAATCCCGGAGGGTTTCTTGTTCTTCCTGGTGGGAGGAAATGAATAGGTGAAATAGAGAGCATTTTTAAGGCAGTGAAACTAGCCTACTACATACCTCATAGAGCTCAAATTGTCATCTCACAACACTGTATTCAATTTTAGTGTTGAAAAATGAGGGCAATTGTTCTCCACGCGACTAAACCAAATTATACTCCTTTGTGCACTGTCATAGACTTTCACTGTTCCCTACACTCAACAATGTTCAGAATTGCCAGAAATATTTTTTTCTTATCATCTGCTGTGTGTAAAATAATATCTCACCCTGGTTGTGAGTTTTCCTAATCACCCCTGAGGGTGAGCACAAACCATCTTTTTATAAACAATCTTTCTAAATGATTATGTTTTCTTTCTTCTGAATGAGTGGCAATGGCATGTAATTTGACTACTCTGATGAGTCTAAATGCCCATCTTTCTTCAGGGCATAATGGAGAGTGGTCTTCAGGTGTGTAACACTTAAAACAAGTGGCCCCAGGGAAGGTTGGGCAGAGAAGTAAAAAGTGGATCTAAGAGGAGAATCATAACGGAGTCAGTGGGTTTGGGAAGGCAAATGGGAGGACAGTAGAGATGTCCACTAGGGTGCTGACAGGCTGCTTTTATACTGTAGCAGCAATTGATGGCACAATAGTAAAGAATTGATAGTAAAGAATCTGCCTGCCAGTGAAGGAGATGCAAGACGAAGGTTCGATTCCTGGGTGGGGAAGATCCCTTGGAGGAGGAAATGACTACTCGTTCCAATATTCTTGCCTGGAAAATTCCATGGACAGAGGAGCCTGGCGGGCTATAGTCCATGGGGTCAGACACGTTTGAGCAACTGATCACACATGTATAGGGGCAATTAAAGTGGAGTTCTAGCTACTGAGTTCTGATACTTTCTATCTTCTGTGTCTCGCAGAGCCCCTTCTTTTGTCAGGTAGCTATAGAAGTCCTGGTGTAGAGTTGTCATATGTGAATGCAGTTCCAGTACATGGTGTAGTGCCATGTAAAAAGTGGAGATCATCTGAGAAGCTTATGAAAAATCCGTGAGCCTCTCCTCTGTAGATTCTTTTTTAAAAAATTTGTTAATTAATTTTATTTTAAAAAATGTTTATCTGACTGCACTGGGTCTTAGTTGCAGCTTGCAGGATCTTTAATTGCAGCATATGGGATCTAGTTCTCTCACCTGGGATGGAACCCAGGCCCCCTGTATTGGGAGTCTTAGTCACTGGACCACCAGGGAATTCCCTCCTCTGTAGATTCTGATTCACCTAGTCTAGGATGGGACCTAGAAGGCCACATCTCTCCATTTCCCAGATTTTTCTGAGTATTTCCCCAGGACTGGCCTCAGAGAATCAGGAGCTGACCCTTGTGTTTTTTCTGCTAGACTCTGATGTGGCCAGAAGTTTTTGCAGATGTCCCAGTCTGGCCAGAAGGAAGGAAACATTGCTGTACCCTGCTCCATTTTGTTGGGCATGGGCACAGAGTCTTCCCCAGGTGGCCAGAGTACAGTAAAGAAAAGGCTGTATCTGTTGACAAACCTAGACACCATATTAAAAAGGAGACATCACTTTTCTGACAAGGGTCCATCTAGTCAGAGCTATGGTTTTTCCTGTAGTCAGGTACAGATGTGAGAGCTGGACCTTAAAGAAGGTTGAGCACCAAAGAATCTATGCTTTCAAACTGTGGTGCTGGAGAAGACTATTGAGAGTCCTTTGGATTGCAAGGAGATCAAACCAGTCAATTCTAAAGGAAATCAGTCCTGAATAATCATTGGAAGGACTGATGCCAGAGCTGAAGCTCCAAAACTTTGGCCACCTGATGGGAAGAGCTGACTCATTGGAAAAGACCCTGATGCTGGGAAGGATTGAAGGCAGGAGGAGAAGGGGATGACAGAGGATGAGATGGTTGGATGGCATCACTGACTCAAAGAACATGAGTTTGAGCCAACTCTGGGAGATAGAGAAGGACAGGGAAACCTGGTATGTGGTAGTCCGTGGGGTCACAAAGAGTCAGACATGACTGAGAGACTGAGCAATAACAAAAGCCTATGGATAATATTTTATTGAAGAATTGCACCATAGAAAGGGGAAGTACACCATAGAAACTACTTCCAAGTACAACAACAGGCCTTAACTTCTAAGAAATCATCAGGCCAGCTTCTAGCCTGTCTTCAAGTGGACAAAGACATTTCCTGTCCCTAGATGTGGAGGTCTTCTCAACACCTACTACAGTCAGAGCTCAAGTGCTTCTCAAGAGCCCTGAAAGGACAAGGTTTTCCCCTTACCTGTTTCTAGGTTCCAGATCCTCATGTAATCAGCCATTCTGTGCCCATGACTGATTGAATAAGGAGATATTTGGTCAAGAGAAATTAATGCAGGATATTCATTTTCAGCTGCACTTGAAAGGAGTGAATGACAAAAGAGAATGGGAGGGGGAGATGAGGGCTGGGCATGAAAACTCCGGCCAATCTGGGGGCCCCAATAATGTGGCTTTGATTGGTGGATATATATATATAAATATATTGTATACTTATATAATTATACTATAAATAAATAAGACTGTAGATTCTAGTCTTGTCAGTCATCTATACCATTTCTAATGGACTCTTGGCTTAGGTGTGCTAACCTTCAGTAGCTTGATGTACACACCAGGAATCATCAGAAGTGAGAGGCCTCATGAGAAGACTCACCCCTGAGCATGCCCACAGGAGTGATGCCTAGGACATCCTCCTGCTCATCAGCTTCCTCAGAGCCCTCTTCATATCTTTGTTCCTCAGGCTGTAGATAAAAGGGTTCAGCATGGAGGACAGAACTGTGTAGATGACTGTTGCTACTCGGTCCTTGATGGTGTAGGTAGACAGGGGTCGGAAATAAACATAAATAATGCTTCCATAAAAGAGGGTCACCATGGTGACATGGGAACCACAGGTAGAGAAAGCTTTATGTTTCCCGGCAGCTGAAGGGATCTTAAGAACAGCAATGAGGATTCGTAGGTAAGAGATGATAACACATATGAAAGGGCTCACCAGGGTTATCAGTCCTTCAGTATTAATTACAATTTCATTGACAAGTGTGGAGGAGCAGGACAGTTTCAGTAGAGGGTTGATGTCGCAGAGGAAGTGGTGGATGATATTGGAGTCACAAAAGAGAAGACGATTTATCAGGAGAACCAGTAAGAGGGAATGGAGGTGAGAGATGGAGCAGGAGAAGGTCACCAGAAGGGCACAACGTCGGCGGCTCATGGTGGAGACATAGTGGAAGGGGTCACAGATGGCCACATAGCGGTCAATAGCCATGGCTGCCAGGAGGTAACTCTCTGTGTTGGCAAAAGCCAAGAAGAAATACATCTGGGTCATACACTCAGCATAGGAGATGGACTTCTTCTTTGACAGAAAATTCACCAGCATCTTGGGAACTATGGTGGTTGTGTAGCAAACATCAATAAAGGATAAAATGCTAAGGAAAAAATACATGGGTGTCTGGAGCTGAGTGTCAGAGCGGATGGCCAGGATTATAAGCACGTTTCCTGCTATGGTGACTACGTACATGATGAAGAACAGGGCAAAGAGTGGCTTCTGGTCCTCAGGCCGGGAGGAGAGTCCTAGGAGGATGAACTCAGAGACACTGCTGGTTTGGTTAACTCTCTCCATGGTCCTGCATAGGCCAATACATTTATTCAAATATATAGTAAAAAAAATATATTTTAATTCAATAAATTTCAATTTATTCCTCTTTCCTAGGATTCCTATAGAAAGTCCATGATTTTGTCATCCTGTCCACAGTCCACAAAAGTAAGTTGAACAATAAAATTGAACCTATGTTAAGTGCAAGGACATCAGAGAGTGAGTTTCCTTTCAGAAAGAATCCCAGATAGACTTCAGCAATGCACAACTCTTATTTCCCCACAAATATTTATTAGATTTGCTGAAGTTCATCTCTCTACCATCCTTGCAAACAAAACAAATAAACAAAAAATTAAACAGTGAATCAGGTAAATAAGATAACTGCTGACATAGGCACACAGTGTCAATAGTCACCCTTTCAAAGCCAATATTTTAATTCAAACCTGGTTTGGGAAAAAAAAAAAAAGCTGTATTATAGAGTTGGCCAAAATTTCATTTGGGTTTTTCCATAAGATGGTATGGAAAAACCCAAATGAACTTTTTGGTCAGCCTAATATTTAAACCTAGGCATTAAAACATTCATAAACATTGAAGATTTATGCTCTCACAATTATTCGGTATCACTGTTTTAAACACTCACTAGGAACCCAACACTAAGATTAAAAAGATGAGTGATTCTCAGTTCCTATTCTTAAGGTGGTTATAGTCTGGCAGGAATGACAAACTTTTAAACAAATAACTGCCACAAAATTCTACAGGTATGGTGATAGACATACTGAAAAGCAGCAAGCATCATGTGGTGTCTTTGAGAAGAGCATGCATTTTGAAATCAGCTCCTTCACTTTCTGGCTGTGTGGCTTTGGGCTGATTACCTAACATCTCTGTTTCCTGGTGTCCTTCTCTGTAATCTGGGATAGTAAATACTTCCCTTCTCAGCTTCCTCTTCTGCTCCATCATCGTCTTCACGTCTTCCTTTACTTCCCGTCCAAATCCTCTCCTTTGTCAGGTGTGCCTGGATGCTCTTGAAAATAGTTATTCTGTACTTCTTTATGAAACCTCAGAGCTTTCATATTTTTCATTGCTTGACCGTGCTTCACCCAAGTTTATGAGACTTGGTGGAAGAAATATTTATTTGTGCTTTGTATGATTTGAAAATGAGTGCACAATTAAGAGAAACAATAGTCATGCTTAAGACCTATTAAGCCTTACTGTGTATTAGACAGTGAGCTAAATGCTTTACAGATAGCAACCCTCTAATCTGGTTCTCAGCAACAGTCCCTTTCAATAGATGAGAACATTGAGGTTAGATGTTGAGCGCTTTCCTCAAGATTACGCAACCCAGAAGAGCCAGAGCCTAGATTCCAAACAGGATAGTCTTAAGCACAAAATGCTTTCATAAAGCTTCAAAAGTTTATGCTAGAAACAAATGTGCAGGGGTGTTGTTTTTCACTGTGGAATTTTCCACCGTAACATCTTTATTCCAGTGACGACAGGCTTGCAAAATCAGTGTTCTGTGTAGTCTCTTACTGTAACTGCTAGAGACAGGACCTCTCCCAAGCCTTGTGTGGACTGGGAGCTGTGGTTCTGTGGAGCTGTGCCAGGGCGGAGGGAAACATTCAGGAGATAGAGCCAGGAGACGTGGGTTCAGATCTGGGCTCCGCCGTCTACTCACAATGTGTCTGGCGAAATCCCTTCATCACTCTGAGTTTCACTTTCCTAATCTTTAAGATAAAACCTTGCTCTCAAGAGAAAAACGAGGAACATGGGTGTGAAAACCACAAACACCGTATACGTCAGCAGGATGACTGGGAGATGTCTGATAAAGAAGAAAGTAGCATCAGGGGAAGGCAAGGTGGAGCTAGATGGAATGCAGACACAGGAAAGGAGTTTGGCCATGAGAACAGACCAGACTGAGTCTAAAAGCATGGTGGGTGGATGTTACTGGAATCAGTGATTTTCCTATTTTATTCCATTCCGTGTAGTACCCATCAGCGTGGGCTTTGTTTCTTTAAGGATCTCTGTGGTTATGCCTGCTAGGTATCTCTCAAATCTTGCAACTCTTCCTCTCCCTGGTCAGCACTCTGCTGAAAGCCGTCATTTCCCATTCAGATTGTTGCAGCCTCATCTAAATGATGTATCTGGTTCCCCTGTCCTCTCTTGACAGGCCCTCCCCTGTCGTTCTCTGCCCTGCAGCCACAGTGATCTTTTAACAATAAACATGATCACCTAACTTTTGAGATTCAAGTCTGTTTGTTTCCTAGGGCTACTGTAACGAGGTATCACATTGGAGAGATGTGGTTGGGAAACTCTCCCTAGAGGGTGAGTGTAGCTCTGGCATCACCCTTCCCCCAGAATCCTTGGAGAATGGGCCTCCAGGAAGTCCCTCCTTGTATCTTATCTGGGTCTCCCCAACACAGCTTCAGTGACTAGCCAACAGCAAGGTCAGAGACTCCTTGGAGCTCACTCGGTGCTCATTCGGGGCTAAGTGAGGGACACAGAGGCTCAGGGAGAGCTGGTGACTTGGCCAAGACCATGGAACAGTCAGGCCTCCTGCAGACCTAGGGCACCTGGCTCCTGGCAACAGCTCCTTCCCGAGTTTTACACAGAAAATGCAGGTCCCTCCTGCAAACATGCTTCCTCCTCTGGGCTCAGAGCCAATGTGACCGGAAACTCTGACTCTTCATGCATCTGATTATAGGGGGTCAAGAATGTAGCAACGGGCATGAGGAGCCCGAGAAGTCATCTAGGGATGCTGGGATCAGAGGGCATGACCTTCTGGTTTAGGTCTCCTCGTGTCACAGAATCATGCAAATAGTGTTGCTTAAGCCCTGACTTGAAACGATCAAAATGCCTTTTCTCATGGTTCCGGAGGCTGGAAGTATAAATTCAAGCTTGTGGCTGAACTGGTTCCTTCTAGAGATGCTTAGGGAGGGTCTGCTCCAGGCCTCTTGCCTAGCTTCAGGTGGATATGGGCAATTCTTGATATTCCTTGACCTGCAGATGCCTCTGCCTCTGTCTTCATATGGCTGTCTTTGCTCCCTTTCTTTACACGGGCTTCTCCTCTCTGCGTCTGTGTCCAGAATTCCTTCTAAGAAAGATACCAGCCTCTGGGGCCCACCTGACTCCACTCTAACCTCATCTTAACTTGATTATATGTACAAAAACCCTACTGTCAAGTTAGGTCTCTTTCTGTTTCCATACCAAATCCTATCTGAAAACAGTGTACTAAAGAATCTTCACAGCTTCTGTTAGAGACATAATTGACATAATTCCTTTTTAGAAATGAAGGGAAAATACTACCATTTTTGAACCATCCTTTTATGTCAATTCTACACAATTGCCTGTTACTTTGTACATATTTTAAAAGATATAGTTTTGTAAATATTTAATATTCTGCTAATTTGATTTTGAATTGTAAATGTCAAGTATCCTGCTATTATACTTTGTTAAAAAGGAAACAGTGTACATTTTTAGAATATTTTTATGAGTAAATTTAAGGCACTGAAAATAAAAAAATTAGTTCACTTTCTGGAGTTTTGGGTGAATATAAATTTGGTGGGGGGGGACACAACTCAAGCCCCTCTTCATTTAATATAAATTGAGTTCCTATTCCCCTCCAGTCTCATCGAATTCCTGTTTCCCCAGGGACTTCCTCCTGTTCTTCAAGCACACTTCTATCTGGGCGGTCCTTGCCCCTTGCCCCACACGCTTTTCCTTTCTATCGTCCTTTGTGTATCAACTCAGCCGATACTTTTTCCGGGTCAAGTCACCCTATTTTATGCTCTCATGGAACTCCTTTCCCTTCCTTTATGGCGCATATCACAGTCTGTAATTATTCATTTATTTATGTGAGTGGTGTTTGTCTTGACCAAACACAGGAATCCAGTTTCCTTTCCCTCACCATTCTATCCCCAGAGTTTAGCACAGAGTTTGTGGAGGAAGCGAAGCCACACCTGGCTTTGAGGCTGGGGCACCGCAAGATAAAAGGCAGAGTTGGGTGTTGCAATGAAGGAGGTGATGACGCCTTGTGTCCTCAAGTTGCTTGTCTGTGTAGAACTTGTGTCTGTGATGCCTGATGGGCTGGTTGACTACACTTGGCTCTGGCAACGTGTTTACCTGAGCTACAAACCTAGCCCAGACACTGCTCTTGATTCTGCATTTTCTCTCATTTCCCACACCCCACTGATGATCACATCCTAGAGATGTTGCCTGTCCAT